TTCGAACCGGATAGTCCATTTCGAGTTTTGATAGATATATAAAGCGGGTCTGAATTAAAATGAGATGTATAGAAGTATTGTGAGTTTCCTTGGATGTATGAAGACTTTTTTGACAATTGTATTTAACCATGTATGACTCAAACAAAAAAATTCTATATTGAAATTAGTAATTGAATTCATATGGATTGTAAAAAGATGATATTCGACTTAAAGAAAATATTAAATTTTTACAAAAAAATATTGTTATTAAATTTAGTTTTCGTTTATTCTTCAATTGATATTCAACTCTCAAAACTTTGTTGATATTTTTCGACAAGAAATTATTTTCTGATAAACGTAAATTTTTAAAAGTTAAAAATTGATTGGTCATTTTATCTAGATATTTATCAAGCTTGAAACAAGAGGACCAGTCGGCTTTTACCGATTTTCTTATCAATTTTTAGGTCATTGAAACTTGACTATGTTGCTTTTTTTCATTAATTTACATGATCTGAATGGTCTAGAGATATGAGCCTGAAAGTATCTAACTAAAAAATATTTTCATGTTGTTATCAATATTTCAACTCTAAATTTTGAATTCATTCTTTCTCATAGTGCTATATAATAAACACTCAGATCATGCAGATTGTATTGATTATAGTTACGAAAAGTATACCATCTCTCTTAGAAGTTACGTTCGACATAATCGAAACATTTTAAATCTAAAAATCTCGAGCTCATTTTTTACTTAGCTGTTTTTAATAACTGTCAAAAATTCTTGTTGACCGGAAGTTTCAAGTGATGTTTTCATCACATAAATGTTCGAAATGATTCTATTTCGTTTTGGAAGTTTTGCAAAATATTACCTCATGTAACTAGAACATTATCTAGGTATTAAGAAAGCTAATAATATGAAACCTGGTATAAAAATCAAACTGTGTAGTTAATGTTATCTTCATATTGGCTGTAATAGATTTATACGAATAGAAAACCCTTTCAGTAATGTTAAATAATGATCTCAAATAAGAAAATATCAAACTTATTAGTTCTTGCAAAGTAGTTATATCTTTATTGAACAAAATTAGGCATAGCAAAGCATCGATGTTATTCAAGATCAGTTGTTGTAAGTTATCAGATGAGAAATTTTCAAAGAGTTCATCCTTCTTTCTTAATATTAGTGTATATGGAAACACGACAGACTAAAATTCAAGTTGTTACTATATTAGAAACTTCAACAGTTATATGAGTTACACGTAGTATGTGTTTGTGAAGCTGTACTAATAGAATTTTTCTCAAGAGAACTATTAGATTAATTGATATTTAAACATACTAATATTTTACTGATGAATTCTTTAATTGAACTGACCAATCGGATTCGATTGAAAACGAAATCGATCGATTCAAAATCTACGATTTCTAAAATAAGATTATTGAATATATGTCGAATATATAAAATTGAATTTCACACAATAGTCTTATTTATTATTTTAGTGTACTAATTTTTCACTACCAAATCTATTTGGCCGTGGTGAAAAATTAGGTGTTGATTATTCATATAGTAATCGTGGTAATACTGAAGGACGAATATTTTATTCAATGCCAACAAAACTTGATCCAAATAAACAGTAATAATTAAATTTTTCTTTCGTTAATAATCTATATTCTTTTTTTTGTTTAGATTTTCGATTTCTTTATTTCGAAGTTATTTTGATAATACATGGAGTTCTTTCAAACAAGATGATCATGGAGTCAATATATCTTATAATGTAAAATACAAAAAAAAAACAAACAAACAAAGAACTATCAGCTTTGGCACAATAAATGAGTCTTTTAATATTTTGAGAATAGCCTTCGCAAAATTGTGAAGTAAATAATTGAATCTTTTTCTAAAAGACAATCCGTTCAATACGTTGCAAAATCTTGTAAAAAGAGTTCTTCCCATGAATAACTATGGAATTATATCCGATCAACATTACAATGTTCCAAAATAGTTCTCTTTCAAAGAACTCGTCTTCATATTAACGGGTTTGCATTACTCTTTTGACCATAGATAAAGAGACTGAATAGGCCATGTTGTTGTCCATGAAAGGCTGTATCAGTTCATTGAGTACTTTTTTTTTGACATACTGTAAATTTAAAAGAACAACATCTTTTGTTTGTTTCCGTATATTCGCGTTCTGAAAATCTTCCATTAAAGTTTATTGCAATTTTAGTTTGGGTATGTTAAATGAAAAATCAGTCCATATTTAGTTTTATTATTAAGTGGAAGGAAAATTTTCTTTCTATCATTTCTATACGAGTATAAGGTTACAAACTACTTTTTTTTTGTAACGCTTCAGGTGTATAACGAGAACTAATGATGGTTTCAGTTCATTTTTCTAAGAAGAGTGCCTGTTGACACCTTATAACTGTATTTTAATATCTTTTTTTGAGTTCTGCTAGAAAAAATGTGCGTCTGAAAGTGGACTATTTTCCAGCATTGTAGTGTTAGACTGGATCTAATTACATGGCTATGTGTTGGAAGAACTCTTCTCATAAGGTTCTCGAGAGTATTGCATGGGCTGTCATTTGAAAAAAAGGTTCAAGTATATAGGTCACAATTTGAGAGAGGTATTCTCAAAATACTGAAAGTCTCATTTATTCTGCCGCATTCGATTTTTTTTCACGTTACATTAAAAAAAAAAAGTTTTTTTTTCTTTAAAGATTCCTCTTGGTATTGTTCCTAATGCCGTTCATAGTTTTACTTGGGAAGGTGTTTGGCGTTCAGTCTTAGCTGCAAGTTCAGCAACATCACTTGATGTCCGAAAAGATGCTGGTCATTCATTAAAATCATCATTAAAAGTGTGTTGTTTTTTTCATATTTGTAATTAAAATTCTATCAAATTTGTTTAGTATACAGCTACAATTGATAGTCGAGATCATCCAGTAATAGCACAACGAGGGTCTTTCTCTCAAAGTTCACTTGAATTAGCTGGTCTTGGAGGTGATAGTCAATTTGTTAAATGGTCAACGCAGCATCAAATTAATTTACCATTACCATTAAAATCAATTTTTCAATGGTGTTTTTCAGCTGGTGCCATTTGGCCTCTTTTACAAAGAGGAAATCAAACGATTAAAATAAATGATCGATTTTTTCTTGGTGGACCTTTAAATGTTCGAGGCTTTGATTATCATGGAGCGGGACCACATAGTGAAGGTTAGATAAATTAATTAGTTTTTCATTAGGAGTAGAAAGAGTGTTTCTGTTTCCTTTCTTTTTTTATTTAGGGGCAGCTTTAGGTGGTGATTGTTATTGGGCAACAGGTCTTCATCTTTATACACCTCTTCCATTTCTTTATCATCGCGAAAATTTAATGTCTTATGTTCGTCTTCATTATTTTCTTAATGCTGGAAATGTATTTAATACACAATCTGTTCGTAAGTATTAGTTTTTTTTAGAATTTCGTTGTTATTTGTTTTTTTTTTTGTAGATTCAGTACCATCATTTTTGTCCCAATTGACTAATGCAACTCGACTATCATGTGGTCTTGGTGTTGTATTGAATTTGATGAATGTAGCTCGACTTGAACTGAACTATACTCTTCCATTATGGACACAAGTACATGATCGGTAAGTGTTATATTATTAAAAGGTTTTATATTATTATATAATTGTTGTTTTTCTAGAGTGATCAAAGGTTTTCAATTTGGCGTGGGATTTACGTTCATTTAAAATTCATAGAAAAATAACCTTTATTAGACTTTGTATCTTCGTTTGTTTTCTTGTTTTTTTTCTCTTTTTTCAGCGATATGTAGAATTTTTTGCTTACATATAGAAACATTTTAAATCGAAAAAAAACATGTGTAGATTTTTCACTCCAAGAAATGTATTTGGCACTGATGACTTTGCATTAAATTTGATTTAGATGAAATTCTAATATTTTTATTGAGATTTAGTTAAAAAATATTGATAAAAATATTTATTTCATGTTGTGTTTTTCTTCATATTTCTTTTTTGTCGTTTATAGATGACAACAAGATAAATATTGTCATGGTTTCACGTCATTTCATATATAGATATAATGACTTAAAAAAACAGAATAGACTTATTTATTTCATCATAGTCTTTATATTTTTTGCTTGGAGACATCTGTACTGTCGAATACAAGAGAGATTACATTTCTATGTGATAAATGTAGGATTCAATTGTTTTGAATGAAAAAATGTTTTTTTAGTGTTCGAGGAACAGATGTTTAGATAATTTTTTTTTTATTTGTCTTATCATTATTGACAAGCATCAAAAAAATTGTTATTTTACATTTATCATTAGTTTTTTTCCAGAATAATCATGACATAGTTTTAGATTATTTTGGATATAAAATCAATAAATATACGGCCAGCTATTTCTCATTAATTATTCGAAAATATAACTTTCGAAATCTCAATAAGCATATATCAATCAGATGGTATGCACTATTCCATTAATAATATTTTTCATATTTATTTTTCATTCTAATTAATTATATTTTTCCTTATTAAAAATGCTAAATAACTGTTTGAAATAGAAATATTAAGTGTACAAATGATTGGACAAGTATTCACTCGAGCATTACATCAAAAACTTTATTACAATGAGAAAGAAAACAATTATATTTTCAAATGAAAAAAAAATCGATTTAAATCTTGATGCTAAGATTTCAACACAGAATGGCCAAACATCAAGAAAAACTGTCCAAACTGATTCGTGTTACTGGTATGACTTTGCAAATAAATTTTCATCTTTTTATAATAATTTTTATATAGATTTTTGTTATTTAGGAAGCTAAACATATTTCAAATTTAACCGATTATGACCTAAATAATACTAAAAAAATAAAATAAACAATGTATGGATAAAGAACTTAATGTATTATTTTCGTCAATGAAAAATTCTCGTATAATTAAACAAAAAGAAATTTCTAATAATATAAATTTAATTTAGCTGTTTCTTTTTTCTAGTTCATCTAAGTTTTCTTCATATAAAAATTATTTTAGATAATCATAATGGCAGACGACCAACCATGGATGATAGTTCAAAATAAAGTAGATGTTTTTGATAAATTATCAGCTTTTATTTATTGTGATCGACGACAACATTTACTTATATTCAATCATGCAGCTAATAGAAATGCAAGTATTTCTTCATCGAGTTCAACACTCAGTATTCCTGATACTTTGAGTACAGCTAATATACGTTCAACACATTCTGTTGACGTACAAACCGTTAGTAAGTGTTATTTTTTCAATTTAGTTAAAGAGATATTTCAATTTTATTTGCTAATATTGTGTAATTATTATAGTTTATCTCGAACGTATTCAATATATACAACGAGGTGGTAGGAGTACTAGTCGCCGTTCAGCTCGTAATTACAATCAACTTGAAACAAATCATCAACATAATCAAAATGATCATTATGATCAAAAAAAAAGACAATTCGAAATCTATTATTCTACAGATCAACCTCGTTCAGAATATCTTTATAAAAGTATCAGTTTTCAATTGACGATACTCGGTGAGAAAATATTTTTCTCTAGAAATTTTTTTTTTTTGTTAATATAATTATTTAAATTAGATGACGACTGTGATAAATGGATAAATGCTCTTTATGTAGTTATTGATGAAGCAAAAAATTTACGTGAAACAGGAAAAAGAAATCGGTAATAATTCATGTTATTATTCGATTTAAATACTATAATATGTTCTGTAATTAGTTGGCTTTTACGAGAATATGAAAAATTAAAAAGATCATCTGGTGGTTTAACATTCGATTCAATAAATAGTTGGCTTAGTTCTCATATTGGTCTTGTTAGTGAAAAAAAAGCTGTTGAACAACAGATCAAAGAAAATTCAATATTTATTCAATCAAATGAAATAACTGATTCAGTTTTTAAAGCAACATATAACTATTTTACTGATCAACAACAACAAGTTAAATATGACTTCTATTAATATACGAATTATTTTTCTTTTTATTTAGGCTCTTATTAAAATTCTTATGCCTGATTTAGTAGAAGAAAAGTAATTTGTTTTCATGTATTAATATGTTAATCTTATGATTTTTTTTTGTTTAGCCAAATTTCACTTAAAAAATTTGCTTCATGTGTTACTAATAATGAAATTGATTCAGCACATCATGAATCGAATAAAATACGCCAATTTTTAAGATTAAATAATAATCAAACAGAAATTACTCTTAAACAAGTAATAAACAATTGAAAAATCAAATAAAATTATATTGTGTTTATTAAATTTTAGTGTATTGATTATTTATGGTCAGAAGCCAATTCAGCATTTAATCCAATATCTCGTACACAGTGTAATCAAGATATGAATCAACCATTAAATCATTATTGGATATCATCAAGTCATAATACGTAAATATCTTTATTTTTGTTAGTTTTTTCTTGACATTTTTCTTTCTTTAGTTATTTAGCTAAAACTCAAATATTTAATCCAGCTTCCGTCCATTGTTATATTCAGGCTTTATTAAAAGGATGTCGATGTATTGAAAGTAATGAAAGAAAGTAGATTTTCTTTTTGTTGTTTTCAAAAAAAAATTTTTCTTTAAGTTGATGTTTTCGATAGTCGAACTGGTACTGAACCAGAAATAACACATAAAAATACTCGTATTAAACCAATACCATTGCGTGATGTTCTTGAAGCTGTTCACGATTATGCTTTTGCTACTAGCAAGTATGGATTAATAAAAAATATTTGGCTACTCTTTTATTGAATTTATTTATTTAACTTTAGATATCCAGTAATAATTTCACTTGAAAATCATTGTTCACCACAACAACGTTTTGTTATGGCTTCAATGTTTATAGAAATATTTGGTGGTGAGTCTTGTATCTAAGAAAAAATAAATAAAATTTATAGACTTAAAAAAAAATACAACTATGTTGAGTAGAAACTCTTGTTCAGTCACCTTTATCATCAAATGAAACTTGTTATCCTTCTCCACATCAGTTAAAAAGAAAAATTCTTTTAAAGGTAGTGCTGCTCGAATATAGGCTAAGCTGCTTTTTGAATTAATCCAATTAATTTTTATAAGAAAATATACATTTTATTTTCATAAAAAGGATTCAAAAAATGATAATGTATTAACAATCGAGCCACAAGCAACTATAGACTCGGACGAGCAACCAGATTTTCCACCCAATGGTCTTGATGGTCATGTTCAATTATATGATTTTGCAAAAAAAGTATGCATTCATTTAATCTGAATCGATTCATGCTAACTGTTCTCATGTTTGTTTCTATTTGCTATTGAGAGTGTTATGTACATATAGTCATAGGAAATCAAAATATTCTTAATTAAAAGGTAAACAAAGACAAAAGAATAAATCAATGACACGAGTCAAATAGTCTATGTGAAAATTTGTTTACTTTCGAAGAAAGTTACTCAATTGATAAATCTCTTTTGGATCAAGACTACATGCATTATGCAGAACTAAATGGACTATGAATATTTTGAAAACATTTCAAGCATTTAGTTTATTGCTGCCACGATACTGTACTTTTATAACAGGTTTAAGCAAATGCCATTGTTCTGCCAAAGAAAATTATGAAAATTAACTTTCGAGTTTCAGCTCGAAACTTTGAAGAGAGATAGTCTTTAATGAGAGTAGTTTCTTACGAATTTTTCACATCTTGCCATTGTTTCCATTTTAGGATACAACTATATTGAAAGTTTCTCGTTTACATCGCTCATACATAATGGTTGATTCGATGACCTTACTTCAGTATGAAAGCAAATCCAAAGGTGTGAAACATTCACAGTAAACTGCTCTCGTTAAGACCTATTCCTTTACAAGGTTTTAAGTCAAAATTCAGAAATCAATTTTCCTGATGTTCCTGAGGTGGATTAATATATTCATTTAACAACCGTCGTAAAGTTGCAGTATCTGCACAGCAACATGATAAGGGTCAGAAGTCTTTTCAGAATACTCAAAATTCATCTGAATCTATATTATGCACAACATCTCGAATAGAGATGTATGCAACTAGTTTTTTGACTCTGCTTCTGATCCTGGTCTTGACCTACAGAAAAATGTTGCAAAATTGCTTTGTATCACCTTTAAAATAATTCTTCAATACTAGTTTTTTTTTTCCATTATTTAGTCGATCTCTAGCACTTTTTTTGGATCATCTCTCTTGAATTGTGTTCTGATTCATATGGTTTATAAATAATTTCCTTAAAACTACGAAATATTTTACTAAGAACTTGAGTTCTAGCCTTGGGAAATTTTTTGTTGTAGTTCTACTCTCACATATTCATAGTCTCGATGCAAAAGCGAATCATCAATTGGGGAAACTTCACTTCTAAGATGTTCTTATTGCACATTCCTTCAATATGTAAATAAAACAACTGGAAAGACTTATCCATTAAGATTCATAGAGTCTACTCAAAACCATAGTTCTTATGTTTGACATTAAAAAAAAAACTTCAATGACATTGAAACTAATTCACTTTCTTCTCTTCATATTTTCTATTTGATCTTGCAATAAATACTATAGTACATAGTAAAATCGCAGCAAATTAGCGGGTAGACAAGCCATGAAATGTGCTTGTCATATTTATCAAGTCGTATCATTAATTCATTTCTGCTATGTCTGTCAACATCATAAATTTAGATTCTAGAACTAACACATAGATAGTGAATGCTAACGCTGATAATCAACTACGCAGTTCTCTACTAAATTTTTTAGTTTATTAAACAGAATTCAATAAAAAAAATGCTAGTGAGACTGTACTCATAACATGCATAAAATCAGTTTTATTAATGTCACTCAAAAAGACATTCAATTCTAGTTTCAAGCCATTCATATATCTTCTCATTAGAGAACTTAAAATTATTTTCTGACACTATCTATACATTTGAAAACACCCATTAATTCGCTGGTATTTTTGTTCGATGTTTAATTATGTGTAAACAAGATGAATTGTTTCAGTTTTGATATTGATTTCAATATTTATTTATATTTAATGCATGTATAGTTAGTTGAGAAATAAGCAACTCAGTATTATTGTCATTACTCGAAAATGTACTAATAAGAATATACATTATTTCTTGAATTTTTATTTTTAGGCATGGTTTTATTATAATTATTCATTTAAAGATGAAGATCTTTATTTGGGTAAGGATCAAGACATACATAAACAAAGAAATTCAGATGAAGACACTAGTGATGATGAAATCAAAGAAGTTAGTTAAAATAATATTTTATTTTTATATTTATGTTTTTCTTTTTTTGCTTCTAAAAGAATATACCAGATGATACGTTAACACAAATTTGGTATCATAAAGCTATTTCACATCAAGCTGCAGAGCGTCTTCTTTTATCAAATGCTGGTTATGAACCTGGAACTTTTTTAATACGAAAAAGTCCGAATAAAAATTGTTATTGTGTTACATTTCTGTAAGTTTTATTCCTTTTTTTTTTGTTTTGTTAAGATTTATTTACAAAGACATATAAATATATATATATTTATTAAGAGCACCAAATTCTACAGTTAAAAGCATTCAAATTGAAGAAGAAGTAAATTCAGATGGAAAAATTCTTTATTCGTTATCACAGAAAACATTTGAATCAATACCAGATCTTGTTTCTCATTATCGAACATATGATTTTGCTGAAATTGTTAAGGGATCAACCAAAACTATTTCACACCGATTAACAAAACCATTACCACGAGCAGAATGGCATAAAGAACTTGAACGACAACCATGGTATCAACCAAATTTAACGCGACAACAAGCTGAAGAATTATTACTAGGTGTAAGTTTAAACAAGACAAAAAAGAAAACAAGAGGGTTCGATTATCGATGAAATCGATCCTCTTGAGAAATTCGATTTCTTCTATGCCTAACTCTTATACAAGATATCTACAAATGATTTTTGATGGAATGAGTCCTATAGCATTTGTTTATGTTTATTTCGAGATTAGTTGAAATAGTAAATGGTTGTCACATTTACAATGAATCCGACTGTTGATGAGAATCAGTTTTTTCTTATGTTAATCTTGAGACCTGATTTAATGCCTTTTTTGATTGATACTTCGTAGATTTTGATCAGAAAAAGTGTAATCTGGATGAAATTAATATGATATTCTACTTTAGCATTCAAAACTAAGTATACTCATATGAGTTTCAAGTATTTTTATGAACTTTTTGTTCATCAAAAATTTTATTCCTAGCCCAAATCAGGAATGATTCTGACTGATCATCAAACTAATAAATAAGAAAAAACTGTTTTTCATCAATAGTTGTATTAATTGTAGATGTGACAGTCATTAACTAGTTCAATCAGCCGAGGTACAATACTAACAAGTGTTATAGGCCGAATTTAACTAGAAATCACTATCGGGTACGTTGTGTGAGAGTTTGACATAGAGAAAAGCAAATCTCTTGAGAATTGATTTAATCTATTGTTGGTACCTCCTTTTCTTTTGTTTATTTGTTGGAGTTTTTCTATAAAGATTGCTGAAGAAATGACATTTTTGATACGAGATTCATCCAGTCGTGCTCGTCAAGGATATACCATATCTGTTTATATAAATGGTTTCATACGTCATTCACCTATATATCGTGATGGTTCAGATTTAATGCTAATGTCATTAACGTTCACAAGTTTAATTGAACTTGTTAACTATTTTTCTCATAAACCAATTTTTCGAAAATTATGTTTACAAAAACCTGCAAAATCGTATGTAGATTTTATTAACGAACAACAGCAATTTAAAGCACAAGGAATCAACACAAATATAATAATTTTTAAAACATTAGAAGATGCAATACAATTAAAAGTTGATACACTTCGAACACGTAAGTTTTTTTTATTGGTTTTCTTTTCTTTTTTTCCTCAATTTAATTTTTATCTTTTGAATTTATTTAGTTCAAGTTGATCAAAATCCGAATGATCGATCTGTTCAAGTTCAATACTATATTTATGATGAAAATAGAAAAAGAAATGAAGGATATTTATTTAAATTCGATACAGTCAAAGATTGCAAGATGTTTTCAGAGACACTTTGTCCTGGATCATCACAATTATTATCAATACACCTATCACAAGATGAAATGATAAATAGTACGCATCATCTTTCAACAAGTCTTAAAAAAAGTATACCTGCGCCAGCATCACCTCATCAATCACAAATATTTATAGCAGAATTAAATAAATTAATTGTTTATTGTCAATCCATTAAAATGAAAGAACATAATATTAATAAAGTACAAGATCTAGGTGAATTATTATTAGTACTATAATAGAGCAGTTTTTTCTTGTTAATTAATTGAAAATATCTATAACAAAAAGATTTTTTATAATCTTCTTATTAAATAATACTTTTTCTAAAGAAGATTATATAAAAATAAGCATTTTAAGATGTTATAATTTTGATTAAAATTGAATTTATGATTCAATACCTAGCGAAAATAATTTGATAATCACACTTTCAACTTTGTTTATTATAAACAAGAAAAATGTGTACAATTTTTTCAAGGATAATTTTCTCCAAAGATGAATTTTTATTTTTCTATCATTATAACAATCCTACAATATTCATATTATCTAAGTCTCGATGACAAAATTGATACAATGAAATCTGAATTCTTTCATCTTGCAAACGGACATCCTCGATACAATTAACTCATTGTTCTATTTAAACAGAAATATTATAGTGAGAAGGTTTTTGATTGTACAACATACTTATATTTGATTTTCTTTAATTGTAATAGAAATTGATTTTTTTTTTGTCTTTAGAAAAAATACGATCATTCAAAGAAATGATTTCACTTAGTAATGCCAAAGCACCTACATTTTGTTCGGAGGTTCGAGCGATGCTTTTGTATGTTTTGATATATATATATATATATAAATCTACATAAAAAATAAATGTATTTTCTCTTTGTGTAGATTTAATCGAGGTCATTTTACTCGTATTTATCCTGATTTTTCAAGAAAATCATGGAGTTCATACAATTTCGATCCTATTCCATATTGGTTTACTGGCTGTCAATTGGTAGCACTCAATTTTCAAATGCCTGGTTTGTATTAATTCAAAGTATTTAATACCAATGGTCATTTAATGTATGTATACGGTTATATTCAGATCGTCCAATGCATATTAATGCTGGTCGATTCGCAGCTAATGGAGGGTAAGATTGAGACCTATATAACATAATTATTCTTCTTTCAAGAAAAATGTAATTTATTATTCATATAGTTGTGGTTATGTACTTATGCCAAATTATATACGTTCATTTTCTGCCAATATGTCAAACATAGATATAAAAGCAGTTATATTAAAACTTCGTGTTCTAGCTGTTCGAAATTTACGTACAAATCAATCAAAAAGTATTTCAAAAGTACAAGTTAAAACAACAATTGTTAGCAGACAGAAACTCACTGGAAATCAAACTTATTCAAGTAGAATTTTTTTTTTGTAAATACTGTTTCTTTTCAATATATGTAATTTAACAAAATAGCAATAATTCATGGTCCGTGTGGTATTTGGGATTCTAAACAATCATCAAAAAATCCTGATCAACTTCATGCACATTATCGTCTTCAATCGGATGATGGTGATGTTGATCTCTTATATTTTGAAGTATTGACTGATAACGAAGAATTTTGTGGACAATCAGCTATTCCATTATCATCATTGAGATCAGGTTTAGTTCGTTTCGTTTTATTATAATACAAGAATAATCAAATAAGATTTTGAATTTCTTTTTTTTTTTTTGTTTTTTCTTTAGGCATACGGTCTGTACAATTATATGATAAATTTAATGAATATTTAGATATGAGTGCTCTTCTTGTTGATTTTATTTTTAAAGCTGGTATTTTATTTTTCAATATATTTTAGCAGAATAATTATATAAAAAATATGTTTTAGTGTAATTGTTCGTCGAATTTAATACATAAGATCATGCTGACCTAAGATATATGTTTGTTCGAAGATTGAAAAAGAAAACTGTGATCATCGTTCATGTCTTTTTTATTTTATATTTATTTCTTTTTTGTACACATTTTTTTATCGTTCTCCATTTCTTTTTGTCTTTTTCTTTCCTTTACATTCTGTGTCTTCAAAAAAAATAGAAGAGTGTAATTTGATTTCATGCAAGTCATAGAGGCACAACACGCACACCTGTATGTAAAGGGAACAAAGTAATACGAAAGTGAGAGAGAGAGAGAGAGAGAGAGAGAGAGACAGAGAGACAGAAGAAAATGCAATATGATATTTCTTCTTTATATTCTTTCTTGTCTTTGACGGTTTGTCTTTCTAATTATGTTACATCGATGTTAATCTTCTCTCTTTTTTTTCATCAATGTTGGATACTTTTTCTTCCTCTTGTGAGTAAACTTAAGTATTGTGTCTTCTTTCTTTCACTTTCTTTCTTTCTTCTTTCTTTTCTAGTGAGATCTGTCAATTCGATGTTTCAAGGACAATTAGACAAGAACGAGTGTCAACATACTTCACTTCATCGTTTATTTCTTTTGTCGCATGCTTTGCAGCTGCTAATGTCTGTTGAAAGGTGTCACATAGTAATATGCTACTTTGCTATTCTAATAGAAAGAGAGAAGAACAATGGAAAAGAGTCTTTCTTTGTCCTGTCGTTGTTTCATCCCATTAACAATCCTTCATCATTACCAACGGCAGAACTACTCATACTACTGCTGTCGCGTTGATTTTTTTGCTATACGCTAGTCGACATTATATGACGCATGCCGCTATATGATCGGCAAAATAGGAAAAAAAGAACGAAGAGAGAAAACGATGGTTTGCACAGCCCCGGACGTCCGTGTCAATCTGCGCGAGTGTACTTCTACAATCGTGCTGGATACCTCCTTGTCTTTCCTTGTCTGTTGCCGCATTTAATAGAATGCCTCGTGTGTCCGCCTCAATGCATATATATTACGAAGACCCAAAAGAAAAAAAGAAAGAAAGAAAGAAAGAAAGAAAGAAAGAAGAACAGAACGCTGAATGAAAGAACCGACAAACGAACGAACGAAATATTTTGAATATTACTACGCGCGTCTCACATATTCTATATGTGATTATGAAGACCAGACGAGCTAGTGCGATCTCTCTTCTTTTCTCTTCGTATGTATTTAGTGGGTTGCCCCTCGTCATTGTGTTGCTGTATGCTCTGTCGTGTAATACTCGAGCAACTGGAAAAAAGAAAAAAAAACCGAGAAAAAAAGCAAAACTTTGTTCGATGCAATGCATCTATCCAATATAGAGAAGAGAAAAAAAAGAGAAGAACGATTTTTTTGCTTCTTGATAGGAAAAAAACCGGGCCAAGGAAAGAGGGTGGTGGGGAAACGAGAAAAAAAAGAAACGGCAAGGCGCGTGCACTAATCATGTCCTTGAACGGCTCGCTCGTGCACTCTCGATGCCATTGTGGGCGTTCGTGGATTCCGGCTGCGCACAAAACGAGAATGAGAAGAAGAAGATGATGATGAAGCAACTTTTCCCCTGTGTGTTCTCTGTCTCTGTCTGTCTGCTTGCCTGCCTGTCTCTCTCTCTGTCTCTTTGTCTCTCTCTCTCTCTCTTCTCAATTGAAGTCAATCATCAGCTGTATGTTCTAGAAAACGATTCTCTTTTTTTATTCATTGTCGCCGTCTTTCTCCTAATCTAACAAAATCTTCTTCGATGCAACCATTCACACCGTATAATGATCCACAACGGTCCGTCTGATGTCTTATCATCGTCAGATTTATATGTTGGCATAACTGACGGCAGTCATAGTTCGATGGTTAAACAACCTCAGTCTGATTCTCATCAATACCTTTCTAATCATCACAGCGATTCTTCACGTTCATCATCAATTTGTTCGTCTTCACTTTCACCAAAAACTTCGTCTTCGACGGTTGCTACACCCACAATAGGGACGACAGCTGCAGTGCCTGCAGCAACAGCCACAGCTACTTTCACTGATATCGATCCACAACTGGCTCAACACGTCGAATATGAATTAGGTTTAACAAAAAAGAATGGTAATGGTAGTGGAACACGAAAAAATGCATGGGGAAACTTAAGTTATGCTGAATTAATCAGTAAAGCTATTACAAGTAGTGCTGAACAACGTCTAACATTATCAGAAATCTATGATTGGATGATAAAATATGTTCCATTTTTTCGTAATAAAGTTGATAGAATTAGTAGTGCTGGCTGGAAGGTAATTATCTTTAATTTATTTTCAATTTAAATTAAATTTTGTTCTTTATTATATTCTAAACTTGTTTAAAATCTGAAAGAAATTTTTCATTTTAATTTTATTTCTATTGAAGAATTCTATTCGTCACAATTTATCATTACATAATCGGTTTAAACGTGTACAAAGTGAAGGTACTGGTAAATCATCTTGGTGGATGATTAATCCTGATGATAAAAGTATTAGTGGTAATGGTACATCATCATCAACTGGTATAAAACAACCACGACGTCGTTTAGGTCAAGGTACAAAATCTTCTTCTGTACCATCAGCAACACCAAAAAGACTTCGTACACCTCGTTCAACGAAAGCATCTCGAGCATTAATTACAGCTCAACAATTAGAACAACAACATCAAAATTCAGTAGCTCAACAAGTTCAACCCCCTGATATGTCAACAGTATCAGTTTATGAGGCACAACAATGGACTTCTCAATTAGAAACAGACAATGGAAATGATCATTTATATGAACAAGAACTCTACTCAACAACAGTAAGTCCTCCCACAACGAACAGTAATGGTAATTCAACAGCATGTATTCAGTCAACATATTCATATGACGATGTAACAACTAATTATGTGGGTAATACAACATCAACCAATAATAATAATACCGGTGATTATTCTTATCATCATCCACATCATTTTCATCCTCATCCTCATCATTCACATACACTCTATCAACATCATCATGGATCAAATTATGATACCGGTTCAACAAATAGATATTATCACCAACAGTCGGTGCTTAATGATCATCATTCTAATCAATGCTCTCTTCCAATTGACACATATCACACAAATAATCCAGGAACATATACATTACAACAACAGCAACAAATCGATCCGAATGATGAACATTTATATTTAGGTGTTCATTCGACATCATCACACTCATCATCATCATCACTTTCACCACCAACATTAACAACAAATAATAACCTTCTACCGGCACCATCATCCGGTTCATCTTCGTCCAACTATACACATATACAAAAATCTTCATCATCCGGTGGCTATCTTCATCCGACATCGAATGGAACACTTACACTTTATAGTCATCATCATCAACATATTTCACATCATCCGAATTCATATCATCCAGATATTGAAACATTACTTCAGTTAAATACTGAAGATGATGATATTGATGACGATGATGATTTTTCAACTCTTGTACATCATCATGGGATAATTGATGATCAACAACAATTATCATCTTGTTTTCCTAATAATAATAATCACAATCATCAATTACATTCTCACAATGATACTTCAACATCAATTTTACGTACGGTGCTGAACAGACCGATTGTCGGTAAGAAGTTTAGGTTTTAATTGAAAAGCAAATATTTTTTTGTTTAATTTTCGTTTAGATATGTACAATCAACAGGTGTAAAATGACCGGTTCTTTTTTATAAATACTATTTATAACATATATATAGATATCCCTCGATTTTATAAAACATCACCGGCGATCCAATTTTATTGTAGATATTGTGCAATGTATTCTTTTATGTGAGAGTCGTTTAACATGACATCAGAAAGAATGCATTTTTCCTTTTCTTTTTTTCTTTTGTTGCTATTTTCTCTCTACACCGTCAAGTTATTTTCTTTGTTTTTTTCTGTTTTTCTTCTTTCATCATTTTAATTTCTGGAGTATTTTCATTTGGTCATCATCCTTTAACCATTCTCTTTCAACTAAAATGAAAACCGGTGATATTAATATAATGGCAAACTAAGAACAAAGAATAGAAAAAAATAAAATAGCGAAAACTTAGAAATTGAAAGTTTTTTCTGTAATATTGAGAAAAATCTTCATTATCGTCATTTGTTCTTTCCTTTTTATACACACTCTAATAATATTTTTTGTTTGGTTTCTTTTATATTTTTTTTTTCGTGTGTCTGTATGTTTGTCAAATTTTTGTTCCTAGTTTTCACACACACATATATGCACACGAGTTGCTTTTGGAGTCTTTTGTTTTCTTCTCGTGTTCGCCTTTGTTTCATTTTTTTTCGTACTTTGTAAAGCTCGATGTGTATAAAATAAGAGTGAAAGAGAAAAGATGGCAGGAATATATTAATATCAAACCCAAAAAAATCAAAAAAGAAACTTAAAGTTGTATTTCTGAATCAAGCAAATTCCTTGATATACAATAGAATGAAGATTTTCATTCCTTGAATTTCATTTGGATTTTGTAATTAATCAAAATATAGCGAGTACGAAAGGTAAAATTGAGTCATTCTAATAGAGTGCAATCGAATATAGACACAGTCAACTCTAAAGATAAATTATTTCTTAGGCGCCCTTTGCCCTTTCCAGAATCTCTTAAAAACAGCTTGACTAAATATTCTCAAACTTTCAGAGTAGATAGATCTTCACTAGTAGAACAAAACTTGTTTTAGATTCAGAGTGCCCGAATGCTTCATTCTATGAGATATATGTGGCGCAAGGCTGAAAAATGACCTGAACTTTAGCCGACTCTTCCCCGAAAGGTAAGAAATCACTATCATTCATTTTCTATGACTAAGTTTTCTTTTTAAAAAAATCAAGACTAAATTGGCGTCAAGATTTCTTTTTATTTTAAAAACACTGTTTCCTTCGCTTCGAAGAACCGAAATACTGGAAACGCAGTAAAAAAAAAT